GCAAGATCTGCCATAACTTATAATTTCTCAGGCTGGCCAAATAGCTCAGTGGATAAAGTGTCTGCAAGCAGGTGCAGGGGCCAGGGGTTCAATCCCCAGGCCTGCCGAGCTGGCCCCACCCCCAGGGCACAGTGCGACTGCAATTGAGAAGGCGTGATGTGCACCTGTAATCCCAGCACTTGGGAGGCTACAAACAGGAGAATCTAGTAGTAAGACCCTGAACACCCTGTAGACCATTCCCTAAAACACAGGGAGAAAAAATAATTTCTCATGACATTAACAGAAGTAAGGTTAACCCTGAAAATTCCCAAATCCATTCATGACACAAGTGCTAGGCACATGGTGGTCAACATACCAGATCAAAATCACTCACAATCCTTACATTCAGTGGAGGGAAAGTGACCATCCACAGACCAGCCAGTTAGATGACATTAAAGGTTGAGGAGAAATACAAAGAGAGGTGAGAGGCCAGGGAGTATCTGTGGCAGCAGTGATGATGGGAAAGACCTGAAATTTTAAACATAGGGATGCCAGAAAGTCACACAGAGATGACACTTGTGAGGGCGTGAAAGAGGCGGGAGAATAAACCACAGAGACACACAAGGAAAGAGCACTCTAGGCAGAGCAAAAAGTACACACAAAGGCCCCGAGGCTAGCTGGGGGGGCTGGTGCTCACCGGACAAGCCGGACAAGCCAGACAAGCAAACGTGATAAACACTGATATTAGAAAGGAAACTGAGGGCTGGGGAGATGGCTCAGTGGAATAAGCGCTTCCGTGGCGAGCGCAAGGACCTGAGTTCAATCCCCAGTTCCGCAAAAATAAATAAATAAATAAATAAATAAGCATAATTAGAAAGGAAACTGGGAGTCAGATTGTAGATGTAAATTTTGGCCAAAATGATGAAGGCATTTTTGGATTAAACTTGGACTCAAGAGAACCAAATTCAGTAAGAGCCACCTTCTCAGTGGATATTCAAAACATACTCATCTAATGAATGAATGGATAAGGTCCTGGCTCAGCCACTTAGCTGCTTTTTGATTTGTGGCAAGTGAGTCATCTCCAACATGACAATAAACCATCTTTTCCCACCTTACAGGATCACAGCAGCGATAAGGACTAAGCAAATGTATTCTAAATGGTAAGGCGCCATGTATCTAGCAAGAGTCTTCACATTATGACTGAAAAAATTGACAACAATTATTATTAAGAGCACAATCAGGGCTGGGGAGATGGCTCAGTGAAATAAGCGCTTCCCTGGCAAGCGCAAGGGCCTGAGTTCAATCCCCGGTTCTGCCAAAAAAAAAAAAAAAAAAAAAAAAAAAAAGCACAATCAATCTACTTTGCCCTACTTATTTCAACCTCCAAATCAACTTTGTCCTTGCTAATGGATGGAACTGGGGACAGGGCATCTTCCCTAGCGCATGAGAGAGTGAACTGCAAGCGCTTGAGGCTTCCATAAATGTGTGGCAGTAATTAAGACATGATGGTTACTCCTACCAACTGTCCTTTGAGGCTGAAGAAAAGCATAAGACAGTTTCCATGTGAGGATTCTAGGCCCTTCTGCAAAATCCGGGCAGCCAGCAGACCATTTTGTTTCTAAAGTGTCAGAGCCCCCGGCGGGTTCCTTGCACGTGTTTTCTTCATTTAGGTCTACATCCGACTTTTGAAAAAAGGGAAAGAGGAAGCAAGACATACACTCTCAGGATTAGATAAAATATTTTTATAGCGTCCATCTCATGCTATCACCTCAAATTACTTGAAAATCTACCACCAAAATCATTCTAACTGGAGACAGCTTTAGCGTTCTCATCAGTAAGTGAATCTTCCTGAGACTATTTCAATTCCGTAATAAAATAAAGCATATAAAAGCATCTGACATATGACCAGTACTCACTAACCCTGGCTGAATCTCGAAATCCTGCATTTATTCAGCGAACACTAACGGAGCACCCACCAACGTGCCAATCAGTATCTAAGTATCTCAGTGCTGGGACAGGGACAGAAGCAAAACAGATAAAATTCAGTTCTCTCGCTGCTAACATTACCTCCTGAAACCTTCTCCACTGGTTCCCTCTGTTCTCTGCAACTACATTTGGTTTTGGTAACAGGAACCTCCTGCCCAGAACTGAATCATTTGGGATTCTGCAGATAGTCATCACATACCTCCCTGCCTCCAGCCCAAACAAACAGTCTCAATTCTTTCAAGTTAGCAAGGGTACGGGAACAAGAGCGACACCAGGGCTGGGTGGGGAGGAGGCGGGAGCCAAGGCGCCTGGGCTGGAAAATCAAGGGAACCGCTCAGACTCCAGGCGGAGGTCCAGTCGGGCTGGTCGCACTCAGGTGTGTCACCTGACACCTCTCCCGGAATGGACACCTCCCCTCCCCAGGCGCTACAGCGCTCCCCCCTCCCCCCGGTGCGGGGTACCAATCGCGGGGTACCGATCGCGGGCGCCTCGGCCCAGGGATGGAGGCAGGGGCCCTCGCCGTGGGTCCTCGCCTCTTCTTCCCGAAAGCCTCAGGGAGAATCCCAGAGCCATTCCCTGAGTTTCCAAGATGCCCCCTTCCCGCCAGGCCTCGCCGCTCTCGGAAGCCCGGGGCGCAACTGCTTCCCACCCGCGCCCTCACCACGGCCGCAGCCGAGAGCCGCCGACCGGCCGCACTCACCTGCGAGCCCAGCCCCGGCCCCTCCATCGCCCCGGGAACCCGCAGCGGCCGCTGCTTGTTGGAAAGATGTGACCGCAGCACGCTCACCACCCACCGCCCGGCCTGGACTCCACTTCCTGCTCACGCCTCCGCCTCCACTACCTCGGCCCGGCTCGCGCCCTGCGCCGTCAATTAGCTTCACAAAGCCAATCCCTGCCCTCCTTCGGCTGGGGGCGGGATTTCTCGCAAAGGGATGGCCAATAGCGAGCCTCCAGCCGAAGGCCCCGCCCCAGGCCCGCCCCTGAAGCGCCTCGGACCCGGACCGAGACCCTCCTCCAGGGGTTCCACCTACTCTAGGTGTCCCTGCAGGGCCCTGATAGGGCTGTGCTCCAACGTCAGTCACATGCACGCAGCGCGGGCCCGGAATGGGACCCCTAACAGCTAGTTCTCTTTGTGAAAGGCTCCTGATCTGTGAAATGATCTCACTTCATCACAAACTTCATGCAATTATCTGAAGGTGTAAATGAGAAAAAGCACATAAAGACGTCTCCTCACCTAGTGCTTGGCGTGTGTACAGGAATCATCTGACACAGGTGCAGTGGGTGCTAGCTTTACAAATACTTGCTACTCTACATTTGTGTGATCTTGGGTGAGTTGTTTCTACCACCTAGGATTCTGGCTTTTGTTTCTTTTTCTTTCTTTCTTTCTTTCTTTCTTTCTTTCTTTCTTTCTTT